CGACTTTCAATTTCTTTGGATATTCATTAACCCCTTCGGCAAGAAGTCAAAGGAAACCAAAAAATAAAAAAAATAAAAATAGAAGCTTCCATGTAATTATTATATATGTTCGACATTCAATTTCTTTGACTAAACGCCTATTTGATCAATTCTTCCAACAAATTATTTAAATATTTCTCGCGTCTCACTATTTTTCTTGATTCAATCTATTTGAAAGTCTGTCTAAACACCATCCTCAGACAATCAAACCTTATTATCCTCGACCAAAAACAAGAAAACAGTCACTTTTATTGATCAAAACCTTGTTCAAATGTGCAGTCCATTCACTTGTGGAGGCTTTAACATTCAAGAAGATGAAGAACTTTTCAGGTCATGTAATTATTCTGCTCCAAAAATATCGAAAAGGAGCACCAGCTTTGGCAGCAGAAGAAAAAACAGCAACCCTTATGCCAATAGGGGTCTAGAGAAATTCTATGCACTTTTAGCAGATCTTGATGAGAAAAGACAGAAAATATACGCTCAGATGGGCTTCGAAGACGTTTCTCTCGTTCGATTTGTTTACTCGAATTCCAATCACGTCAAGCCCATCGTCGTTAAAGTCAAGGAGAAAAGATCACAAGACCACAAAGGAAATGCTCGCGTAACTACGAACAATCCTCAAGTGTCTGAGAAGTCTCCAGTCGAGACGTCTAAAGACGTGGTCGTCGGGAATGAAGTTCAACAAGTGAAGGACGAAAAATCCGACCGAAGGAATATGAAGTGTTGCTTGATATGTGGGAGGTTTAAGTTGGAAAAGTTTAGGCAACCTTGTTACTATTTTCCGTTGGTTATAGTGATTATTCTTGTGCTATTGGCTATTTATGGACGATCTTTTGCCATATTATGTACTTCTATTGGGTGGTATTTGATACCTACAATCAAAGGGGGGAGCTCAGATTCAAGCAAGCCAAAGAAGAAAAAGGACTATGTTAAAAAAGTGAGTGAGAAAAAGATTGTTACAAGTGAAGGATTGTCTTCCCCAAGGAGCGTCCTAAACGGACCAAGAGACAAGTCCCCTCGACAACATGGCTAAGAAACTATGTATGTTTAAGATTGATGCTTCCATTGTGATTGCTTTTTCAATTTTCCCACTTGAATTATGTTTATATTTTCTCAGATAAGGGACACTTTTTTTTTTTCTGTCTTTTATTATTTTATAAATATTTTTTTGTGTGTTTTTTGAAAATAATCCACTTTGGCATGTTCTTCAGTGTTTGTTGTATTAGTGTCTTTGTGGCTTATTGGGTGCCTTGAAATTATTTGGCATCGCCATCTGAAATCCTTACCATCGGTGTAAAAAAATTCCGGAGGCCTATTGATCGCAATATCACACCTCTATGGATCGAGTTAAGTTTTGTAACTTGCTGCTCCAATCACGGTCAGCCAGAGTGTATTTCGGATAGACCGGCAATGGGACTTGTTGTCTGGACATTCTTGATGATGACGTTGTGCTCTGATGTCGTGTCTGAATTTGACACGTCAACTGTGTATGCCTACCGTTCGTCAATAAAAATATAGCAAATGCTACTTGTACACCGAGTGTCAAATATGGAAAATGCTACTTGTATACTGGGGTTGCACCTCGGTGTACAACCTCCTCACAACAGGGGGGCCCACGGCCAATAAAAAAGTCATGGGCCCCCCTCTTCTGAGGGGGGTTGTACACCGGTGTCAACCCCATTTTACAAGTATCACGACCCTAAAAATATTCACATTATTTGGGGAAGTATTTAGCCCATGTTTGAGGAAAATAATATTTTGAATAGTGATTTTAGGATAATGTGAAGTTGAGATATACTGTCTAATTTTTGTTGTCCATCCAATTAATTATTAACACATTATTTTAAATTAACATGTCTAACTTTTCTCTAAGTACTCCGAGTTATACAACTAATTTGACAATTAATGAGTTGATAGATAGTTTGGCCATTTACATTTATTCACATTAATGGTCAAGATATTTACACCTCATGGATTATCACAATACTTGTACAAAATTGTTGTACAAGTAGTTTAATTCGACTACTCCTTATACTGAAAAATATAAGATATTTTAATGTAAAATGATGTGTCAATAATTAATTGGTGGACAACAAAAGTTGGATAGTAGATTTCAACTAAAGAACGTGATTAAAAAGTAGTGAAAATGGAAACTATTTTATTGTATAAATGTGTTTAATTAAGTGAGGACGGTAGTGGATGCCATGACATGCCTTTTGGCTTGTGAGACTTAATTAGAACTTAAATATTTGTGGAAATCTTCCAAGATTGAGGTTCTTGGTTTCTCCACTTTCGGTTCTTTCACTCCAATTGGAACTTGATGGGCCTTTTTTTTTCCCCTATGATAGGAGAATTTGGAAATTGTCATCCACCAGAAGCATAGGGATGAGAATATCTGGTTAACCTAGTATGAGTCCGGTAAACTCTGTTAAGATCATTGTGTTGTCTTTGTTTAATGTCCTATAAGCACAATGAATATGCCAAATTGACACGAAAGAGAATATGATAAACACGCCCCAACTAAAAACTGAAAAGACTTTATAATTAACCATTTAAATATTGGTGATGCTATGCGTTGCAGTGGCTTTGAAATAAAAACTCTGCATTAAATTTGAAGGTACGCGATGCCTCCAAGATACAATGAAATAGGATAAAATGTTTAATGGCGTTTATGCACTAATAAAAACAAACCAAATACCAAAGATGAAGTATAAATTTATATGAAAGTCTTCGTGATTCTATTCTTCGATATTTTGAATCACAAAGTGAGAGAAAAGGATGAAAGATTATGAAAAGAATGAAATTTGAATCGAGGATGTCAAAGGAGAATCATAAACTTCTTGTTCATTTATACGTATCTACAAATATGGAATTGTCAATCTATTTATAGATTAAATAGATTGTATTACACCTTCTCGTAAGGTAGTTATTGCATCAAAACAGCTTTTGAACATCATATTGAAATTGATGGGTTTTGATACCAATGAATCTCGGTCTAGATGTAAATGTTGGGTTAAATTGTTACCAACAACCAAGTCTAAAGGCTCGACTTGAAAATAACGTGGGCCGTTAGAAGTAGTTTAAAGAATTAACGCTGCTCACGACCCATATATATATATATATAACCTTTTGGATGACTTTGAATTTCAACCCATTTAATCATTTATTGATCCAACTAAAGCCTAACCTAGCCTATATATATGTTGCCTTTTACCCTAGCTGTTTTATGCGTGATTCATGAGAAAAAAGAGAAGAAAACGTGTGTATGAAAAAGATCAGCAGCCTACTAGAGAAAAAACGTGTAGCTTCGTTTGATTTTTGGTCTCCTCTTTTGTCTTCTTTTGTTGTTTCTTCTCTTTACTTTAGTGACTGCAAATGATCACTATTATCTTGTCCTTTGTGGGTGAGATTGAGGAGCAACTGAGGTGAATATAATGGTTGTGGGTTGAAACCATTTGAATTGATTGTTTGACAGAGAAATGTAACGTGAAACTGAGTCCTCAAAACACATCCTTGAAGCAAACTTCCATGACAATTGGTATCAGAGCTTCAATGTGGTGGATTTGGCTCGAAAAATTGACCAAAAGCCATCCAAAAAACTGGTTGAAATGAAGCATAAAATAGATCGCAAAACTGTCCAGAAAATTTCCCAAAAATTGAGGGTATTTTATTAATTTCATGCCAATTCAGAAAGAGTTTGGTGAAACGGAGACCAGTGGCGTGACGTGCAGGCGCTCCTGCATAGCCAGAGCTTGAGACCAGCGACGGCGCACGGTGGAGGCGCGCAGAACACTTTGAGGCGACTTTGTCTTCAGGCAGTTTATTCCTAACATAAATTCTGACATTTTGGTGTTTTTACTTTTCTGTTTCAGGTTATACAGTGAAATCTGGACAGATTTGTTCTTCGTGCGTTCGTGATTCGATTGTGGTTAATTGATTTCTACGATTGATGGAGACTTTAAGGCGAATGGCGTTGCCATAAAGTGACAAATTCACATCTCTCGTAATTTATGGACTCAGATTGGTCCGCTCTAGTATATTGACTTATCACAATTTAAATTCAACATTAGCGCGTCATCGTGTGGGGTGACTTTAGGATTTAAGTTACAATGTGGGGTAACCATTGTTTGTACTAGAAATTTAGGAATTACTTGCTCTATTTGAAGTGATAATTTATCTGCAAGTTGGTAATTGATTTTATGCTTTCATTGTCGTTTAGTAACTGAGTGAGACTGCATTGCATGAGAATTTAAATTTTTTTGTTGACATACATTCGAGTTCATTGATTATTCTATTAGAAAACCTAGACTTGACCCATTTGAACATTCCTTGATACTAAGATCTCGAGTCTCACGAAACCTTGAAAATCTATAACGGTGTATAATGCGGCCCTAGGATTACTTTATATGACCTATTTTTAGACTTTTGTTATTTTATTTTTCAAAATGTTTTCACATTTTGAAGTTAGAATTTTCAATGGAAAAGAGAATTTTTCAATTTAGTAAAAAAAGATGAAGTAGATTTTAGTTCAACAAAAAATTTTAAAATTCACAGATGACAAATTTCCTGCAAATTTGACAGAAGCACAAACAGAAGAATATAATAAAAAACTATTTTGACAGAAGGACAAAAAGAAGAATATAATTAAGTAATTTCAAAAGAAGAATATAATGAAGCACCTATCTCACACTATTTTGAAAAAAGTTGGTAAATTTGATGCTACGAAATAACTTTAGAAAAGTCGGAAGATTTATATTTGCCTAAATCTACTCGTAATACGTTGTATTTGCTTGAAAGATTTTTCAATTTTAAAATGGATTCTTTAAATGATTTTGATGACAATTAGGGTACTTTTAATAAACTTGTTCAAAATATCTTTAATTCTGACGAGAATGTGTTTGAAACTTATAAGGCTATCATCTTGCTTAATTCAATGCCTAATTCTATTAGAGAGGTTAATAATGCAATTAAGTATGGTAGGGATACCTTAACACCCGAGATTATCATAAATTTTCTTAAGAGTAAAGAGATGTATATTAAGGCTGAAAAAGAGGATAACAGAAGTGGCGCGTTATATATGATGAGGAGTAGAATGAAGTTTAAGCAGATAAATTTGGATAGAGCCCGAGACAATAATGATTCGAGTAGTGACTCGAGTGATGATGGTGGTAAGAAAAAGGGTAAATGATGGGACAAGTCTGATTGTAAGCGCTGTTATAGATGTGGTAAGTTTAGACACTAAGTTAATCAATCATTAAATTTATGGTATGTGTTCTGGGTCCGTAACACGAGGTAAGATTTGTGATTCCAATTTTATTGGTTGCCTTGATTAACTTTGTGTTTTGATTGTTTGTAGGTCGATTGGGTATCAAGCTAAAGATTTGTTGGGTTTTTATTCTCAATGAATTCCAATCTATGATGTAAATGTTTGGTTAAATTGTTACCAACAACCAAATTTAAAGACTTGACTCGAAAACAACGTGGGCCGTTGGAAGTAGTTTAAAGAATTAACGCTACTCATGACCCATATATATTACCTTTTGGACTACTTTGAATCTTGGTCCATTTAACAATTTATTGGTTCAAATAAAGTTTAACCTAACATATATATATGTTGCCTTTTACCCTATCTGTTTTGTGTGTGATTCGTGAGAAAAAAAGAGAAGAAACATGTGAATGAAAAAGAGAGAATTCAGCAGCCTACTTTGGAGAGAAAAACATGTAGCTTCCTTTGGTTTTTGGCCTCCTTGTTTGCCTACTTTTATTGTTTCTTCTCTTTACCTTTGTGACTACAAATCATCACTGTTATCTTATCCTTTGTGTGTGAGATTGATGAGCAACCGAGTCCTTAGTTCCTCATAGAAATTTTAAGACTATATAAATTACTTGCAGATGTAGTTTGCTACAATTTCTTGTATACTACTTAGTTTTCCAACTACAAAAGCAATATCCAGCCTTATAGATATCTTTGCATACATAAAACATACAGTAACTTGAAGATATTCTAATTGTGATACCGCTCTACGTACGTAA